TAAAAATGACCCCTAGGCTAGAGGGCCTTTCTGTGTCAGCATAGCAAAGTTGTCTTGTAGGAATTTAAAAAGGTCTTTAAAAGTTGACTACAGCAGCTGAGTTTTCCAGACAGAGTCAACATTTTAGCTTCTCTTGTCCTTTCGTCTGGTCATGCCACGCCTTTTGCCTTAAACTGACACTGAAGCTCTTTTGGTTTCATTTACTGTGGTTTCCAGAATCCCAGTGACACCATGTAACTTGTGGTTTTTATGTAACCTGAGCTGGTAGGTGGTTTGTGGAGCTTATAGCCCTCTCCCCCCGGGGCATTCTTTCCTCCTCAGCTTCTGTGGAGATGTTCTCCTTCAGTCCAGAATGCTGATTGACCTTCCTGTTCTGCAGGGCTATCGATTTTCTTAGCTGCTTGCTCAGCTTCTCATGGCAGGACACAGGTGTTGGCTGAGCTGGAGTGAGTTGGTCTGAGCTTTCTCTGGGCCCAGCTCCACACTTTCTCTGGGCCCACCCCCGGAGGCGTGTCCCCGCCTGGAGCTTGTCCTGTGTTCCCATGTCTGCACAGCTCTGTGACCATATAGCTCGGCAAATGTTGACTTAGCCGTGGGAGATTAATACAGGCCCTGAGCAAACAGGAACCAAGTACACTGAGTGAAAACTCAGAGGACTGAACTTAAGAAGAGGCACAGCGGTGAATTTAAAATTCTTCTTTTGGGAGTCTTCCCTGATGGCTCAGAACCATGCAGCCACTGCAGCAGGAGTTCTCCCACCAGGGAGCTGACCCACAGGGCGCAGCAGACCTCTCCTGTCTTGCCCGCTGATCCCCTCAGCAGTGGATTTCAGTCAGTCTGCCTGTTCTGCCTCTGGTGCATCCTCTCAAACCCCCTACACCTCTGGCCTACACCCCAGCTCCTGTATGCATAAATAAATAAATTAAAAAAAAATTAACTCTTTCAGATGTCTGAGCAAACAGCACTGACAATGAGGCTTTAAGCAGAGGCAGCACGCAGATGGCCCTGCCGCCCCCCTGCAAACCTGAACCCCCAGAATGTTACAGTGCGGTGCTCTCTTGACAGTAGAACCCCCTCACTAGAGTGATAATACTCAGTGCTCTTTGGTCAAGAGCAGTTGTCATTTGGTTAAAGAAATTTAACCGGAAAGTGGGAAAAATCGTTCATGTCATATATCATAACTTCTCACCTCAGGCACTACCAGACCCTCACCCCAACTTGGTTTTATAATCCTGAGAGTCCTTCTAATTTTATAATTTTAAGACTATTTAATGAAAATTGCCTCTCCAAGAGGCTGTAAGTGGCTGCAAAATGTCAGTGAAGATCATCTCTCTGAGTAAATTCTTAAGTCGTGGTTGATAAAGCAAAGCAAAGGCATGGACTTGATCGGCGGCCTCTGGTCTAGAAATCACACGCGCACCTGCACCTGTCGTAGGCTTCAGTCTGGGAAGACCCTGACTGGCCTTCGGGAAACTGGCACCTCTATGGGGAGACGCACGTTCAAAGGCAAGAAGAAGTCTGTGAAAACTTCCTTCCTGGGGCAGCACACGTGCTCCAGTACATTTCCTGAGCTCTCAGCTTGGTTGGTGGCCAGAAGGTGTTTCCAGCAGCCCTGGTTCTTCCCCGTTGGAATCCTGTTTCTGCCCTTTATCTAGCGATGGGGGTCTCAGCAAGCTATATAAAAGCTCCCAGTCTCAGACTCTGGCACCCAGGCCAGCCTGTCCCTGTGGGGATTCAGTGAGCCCCATGAAGTCTGACCTGGTGTACAAAGGTGCCGTTATTGAGTGGCCCCGTTTCTGGCCCGCCCCCCATCAGCTGGCCAAGCACGAGTCTCTGGGGTTCATGTCGGCTGTCTGCAGGTGGGGGAGCTGCCAGCACACACGGCCCTGGCACCATGCTGGCAGCTGAGGACGTGGGTAGGTGACTCTGGAGGCACCTGTCCGGGAGCTGGTGGTGGCCGTCTGCCAGGCCGCTGCTCTGGTAGCCGAGGCTGCCTCCCCGCCCCCCTCAGGACTGGTCTGGCTCTCTCTGGCTGCCTGGATCAAAGCCCGACTCCGATCCCGATCCCTCGGTTGAGGCAAAGGAGCTAAAAGGGTAGTGGGGAGCCGGGTTTGGATTAAGGAAATGAAGTGCCAGGGAGCAGTGGGTGACGCTGGTACAGGGGAGACTGCCGTGCTCAGCCTTTCTCTGGGGGGGTGGGGGGGCGCCGTGTATAGAGCAGGGAGCCTGAGGACACACTGGCTGGCCTGGATTGGCCGCTGGGATCCCAGCGTGCCTGCGCCTGTGGCTTGACTCCTGTTTCCTGTGTGCGGGGTTCCCTCTCTTTATTTAAGTGGAAAGGGCAGAAGGGCCTAGAAAGTCTCTAAGCTCTTGTGTACACAGATCATGCCCTATTGCTTACTGTTAGAAACTTTACTTCCAGGGATCATTTCTATAGTTTGAAATTTAATGTTTACAGTTTGAAATTAGGTTATTTCTCCACTCTAGAAAATTTATAAAATACTGAACATTAAAAAAAAAAAAGGTCACCTGGTGACTTAAAGGCCTCCCCCTTTCCAAACAACAGAAAATTCTAGTACTCTTAAGAAGCTGGATGACTCACAGTTATATTCAGGTTGTTGTAAAGTCTTTCTGTGCTCTTTATTCGTTTTTCCATGGAAATATTAATGTGTGATTTTAGCTGAAAGTTGCTTAATGAAGAATGGTTTTGGTGTTCAGGACATTCGCTTTTCTTAGATATTAATTGCAGTATTTCCTTGCTTTGCGGTTTGCTTGCAGCATATTTTATATATATACATATACATATACACCACTTTTGTATTTTTTGATACCCGGAGCTCTTCATGACTTCTTCCATTCTTTTTTTTTTTTTTTAACTTGGCACCCTTTCAATTCGTATGGATTTGATTTTGATATGCGATGTGATGTTTCCATTTCTGAATAGTTAACCAGTTACACCAGCACCAGTGTTTGGTTTCGATTATTATTTTGACAGCTTTTTTGTGACACCACCTTTCAGGAGATAAATACATATTTTACTTCTAATGCATTCCCAAAATTTAATTACTTGAGTTTTAGTTGTAGATTGATGAATTTCAGTTGGCATTTGTACAGTGTGCATTTTATTTGGCCACTTAAGCAATTTTGAGTAATAACTTTACTTCTCCAGCTTTCAGTTTCTTACTACTTTTTTTTTGCACGTGTGATTTTTATGAGATTACAAACTGACTTCCTGTGAGTCATATTTGATCTGTAAACATAAATTTGTTTGACTTGCTTATGTTAAATAAAAAAAAAAGCTGCCATCATTTAAAAATCATTGGACTTTTTAGCTGTTTCCGAAAAATTGGAGGATCTGTGTGATCTGGATACCCGGCCTGTATTTCCACGTGGCAGAAATCTGCTGAGTGGTTTTTATAGCCGCCTGCATTGAGTTAGATTTGGGCTATCTGCCTTCTCCCTCCTTCACTGTGTTCGGCCTCCAGCTTGCTTATGAATTGTATACTACTGCCTATCTCAGATTCACTAGAGTTCGTTACCCTATTTTATAAAACTTGGCCCTTAATAGAGCTTTAAAAAATATATATATATATAGATGTATATCTGTATATATCTCCATGTGTCTGTCTAGGTGGATATACACATCATGGATATATAGAGGTTGTGTGTGCGTGTGTGCATACATAAACAGCATGAGCAAGAGCGAGAGAGTGCTCTCTCCATCCCTGGTACTTGCAAGAGAGAAAGAGAGAGTGAGTGCTCTCTCCATCCCTGGTACTTATGTGTGTTTTATGGGAGAAAAGCGCACCATTCTTCGTTGAACGCTCACTGGACATCGTCCTTTTTAGAATTCCTGTTATTTCAGCACAAAAAGGCTTTTGTGCACAAGAACACAACACAATTCTGTACTGACAATTGCTAAGAGCACATGCAGGAAGAAAGAGTTGTATCTAAGATTGGAAAACAGCAAAGTGGGTTGGCTTCGTGACTTCAGTGCAGCCCATGGGACGGATGGATTTCCAGTGGCTGGTGGGCGTACTGCTGCTTCTGGGCGAAATTCTTTCTTCACAAAGCCTAGCGGTCACCCCTCTCGTTCATTCCCACTCGACCCCATGAGGCATTTCCATCCCCCGCGGTGGCTGGGTCCGTGGGTGTTGTGACTGCCCAGGCCCTGTCACCGCTTCTCTGCCCTGCTCTGGGATTCAGATGAAGTCCAGGGAGTGAAAGTGTTTGCAGAATTCCTGCTAAGTGGTCACCGCCCAGACGCACGCCCCCTAACGTGAGACTCTCCGTAGCTGTGGTGTGTGGTCTCTGCAGGCCACGTGGCCTGACATGTATGTTTCAGGAGTGCGTCACTGTTTAAAACAGTTTGCTGTCCCGCTCTTCTGTTAGTCTTAGTTTATTTTCTGTTCTTAAAATAGTTGAAGAACATAGTGATGAAGAGCAGAAAGAGATTAACTCTATATTAATGCCTTAAACATTTAGTAGCTGTCACTGAAGCCTAGGACATATAGTAGAATGCTTGTATGAGTGTGACTTTTCACATGGTAGGTGAATTGTAGGGCCACAGCATCGTAGGCTTGGATCTAAGACTCTGCTGGTACCGGGGCCTCCTGGGTGGCACGAGGGGTTAAGTCTTAGCCCCACAAGCTTTCAGCTGCCACTGCAGGGTGAGCTTGATCCCCTGGCCAGGGCTGACCCACATGGCCCAGCAGACCCTCTGTCTCCTGCCGCTCCCCTCAGCGGTGTATTTCAGTACACCTGCCTGATCTGCTCCCCACTCTGTCTCTGCCCCCCCCCCCACCTCTGGCTACACCTCAGCTTTTGTATGCATAAATGCATACATCTGTTTTCAGTGGGAGAACAAGGAATAGGCCTTGTAAATGTTTTGTCCCTCCAAAGCCGTGCATGGCTAGCTTGTAATTAATCTGGTGTAAAGCAGGAAGAGGCATCAGCTCTGAGTCTCTCTCCTCCGTCAGTGTGGGGTGACTAAGGGTTTTCAGATGTGTTGGCCGAGGTTCTGCCCCAGGCTCTCTAAAAAGCAGTACGTAGCCCCTTTTGGTTAAGAAACTATGATAGATGTAAAGTTGAATTCATGTGCTTTTTAAAATCTCCTTGGTTAATAGGAAAACGATGTAAGAAAGATAATTAGGTCTCTGATAATTTTTACTTTAGGAAATAGAGATGGGAAGGGGGGGACATATCCCTTTTGTCCAGGCATGGAGCCGAGGGAGGGTCAGGGGTTGGCCAGGGAACAGGGAAGCAAGTTGATAGCCTGGGGTCATGCCATGGCTTCAGGCCGTCAGAAATGCTTATTAAACAGCCAACACGGAGGAGTGTGGGGGTACAGTGTGTCTTTTTCTGCTTTAAAAATGCGGTGACTATAATTTTCTCAAAAAGCTTATCTTGCAAATGGAAAGCAAATGCCAGTTCTCGGTGGTCCCGGGAAGTGCTTGTATGTCACCCGAGGTGGGAAGGTGGCAGCTGCGTTCCTTGCGGCTGACCTGTGGTACCTGTTCTGAGCTCTCAGGAAGCTGAGCTAAGGGTTGGGAAGCCCGTGACCTGCCTCCTCAGAGTATCTTAGTCGTGCTGGAGGGTCAGGGAAGGAGCATCCCAAGATGGGTTTTTTTTCTGTTTCTATTGAGAGCAAAATTTAGTTTCATTAATTCCATTTCTTTTTCAAAAAATATTTATATTATTTATACAGAACTGGGGTACAGGCCAGAGATGCGGAGGATGAGAGGCTTCACCAGAGACAGAGTGGGGAACAGAACAGGCTGACTGATGAAGTACACTGCTGAGGGGAGCAGCGGGCGGGTCTGCCACGCCATGTGGTCACCTCCGGGGCAGGCGGGGATTGAACTCATGCTGAGGTGGCTTAAGCATTATAGTGCTGTGCTTTAACCTGCTAAGCCTCCAGGGAGAAAACTCACAGGCTTGAGGAAGAGTCTTGAAGAAACAAGTGCCTCTTCAGTCCCACTGTGTCCTGGTGACTGCCGGTGGCCTGTCAGCTACTTCAACAGCACTTTCTTTATTTCCAGCTATTACCCACATTTTGAGCTTCCCAGTGGGTTAGCTGTGAATGTACCCTCCCCACCCCCCAACTTAATCACAGTTGTCTGTGTTTTTCTAATTTGCAGGAAGAAAAAAAGAAGTTTGACAAAGAGACAGAAAAGAACTATAGTCTAATTGATAAACATTTGAATTTATCAGCAAAAAAGAAAGACTCACATTTGCAAGAGGTATTGTTTTTATTTTCCCTTTAATTGTAAAGTTGAATAAGTACTGCATGTTTTATTTTATTTTATTTTTTAATGTGTGAGCTTTTCTTTTGAAAACTTTTCATCCGGAGTTATTAGAGATTGGGAAGAAAATCAACAGGTATCACCATGACTTAAGAAAAAAGAGCTCTTGTGAAATAAGACAGGAAATTAATACATCTAGTGATCAATTCAGTGGGAATTCATGGTACTGAAATTTTTAGTTTTGAGTGTATTTTTCACAGGAACAATTATTTTAGCCATCACTACTGAAGAACAGATACATTATTTTCAGGAATGGATTCATTAATTGGCTTTCAAGGTTTCTTGAAGAAATTAATTGAATTTAATAGGCTCACAAACCATTTTGCTTTTATGTGAAGGCAGCATTAATCTTACTTAACGCTGCTGATTCTGGAGACTCAGCTCCCCGGGAGAGAACATCTGTTTCACTTGTGCTAATAGAATCATTTGTTTTGGAGGAGCTGTATGTAAGGAGAAAGGCATTTACATCTTATCTCTCCTTTTCTCTCTGTCTCCCAAGTCTCCTGCCACTTGTGTTTGCTCACTCTCACGGGGACTGGGACCTCACAGATCAGCCCAGGACTCGCGATGTCAGTGCAGCGAATGTCGTTTGCAGCTCTGCATTTCGCTCATCCCACAGAAGCGTGCTTTTTGTTCGTACGTGTTTACTGTTAAACACACAAGAAATCTGGGGTTCGTGTACTTACTGAGGTGCCCAAGTGGTGCCAGCAAACCAGATTGGCCCACAAACTAGCATTTAAATGGCAGCTTTTGACTTGTGTGCCTCAGGCCTTTCTGACATGTTCTGTGCATCTAGTTTTCTTTTGTTTGATGCCTCTGACTGACGTCTGGATGACATTTGACAGTTCCCGGGAGAGACAGAGGCTTTTATCCCACTTGATCCGGCCCTTGCAGCCAGCCAGGACTCCATCCTCTCCTCGTGCCTCTGTGGGACGTGAGCGGTGGTTCCGTGGGCCTCTCCCCCTCCTCCCCTGGCAGGTTCTGAAGTGACAGCTGTCGCTTTTGTGGATCTCCCTTGGCCTCTGGTTCGCCTACCTGTTTGCCTGCACCCCAGGGGTTTCCGTCTCTGAGCACATTTCCATTTCGCCTTCACTCTCTAATTCGGTATTTCATTGTCAAGGTCATTCCTCCAACAAAACCTTTTTGAATTTGAATTTGAATTTTATTGTGGTAACTTGGCTTACCACATGTTCCGGAGCACAGGTCACACCTGTTAGATGGTGTCAGCTCACCACACCCCCTGGCTTGGTGCCCACCGTCCTGCAGTTCGCGGGGCCCCTCCACCCTGCCCTGCCCGACCCCCCCCCCCACTCTGGTCACATCACTTCAGGCAGAGTCTTTGGAATCCCCCTTGCCCCTCATCCCACGCCCCCATTCTGTCATCGTCTGTGTCTGTCGCTCAGACCCCGCAGAGGCCTCTGATCCCCTCTTCCCGCCTCCATCAGAGTGCGCCTACCATTTCAGAAACTGGGGGAGCCTTCCTCTTGCTCCCCTTCCCCAGCCCTCCTAAGGGCTCCCCGCAAAGGCAGGCGCCTCCCGCTGGCCAGGGCTCTGGGCAGGCACATTCAGGCTGGGTCTTTGCATTTGCCACATAACTGCCAAATGCCTTTTCAAATCCTCCCGGCTCAGAGGTCACCTTGTGGACAGTTTCCCCTGACCCTTCCAGCCACTGATTCGCTGGGATAGCTCACCGAGTATTTCTTGGCCTTCGCAGTTTGTGATAAAGCTAGCTGACACCGATCCTTCTGTTTCTAAGAACTTTACTGTGCTGGGATCTGACTGAAGTGGAATCACATGGTATCTGTCCTTCTGTGTCCTGCCGCTTATTTCACTTAGAACAGTGTCCTCAAGGCCAGCGCAGATCGCAGCCTGTGTCAGAATTTCCTTGCCTTTCGAGACTGAACACAAGTCCACTGTATGTTTAGACTACATTTCAGTGACCCGTTTGGCTGTTGGCTGTTGACCCGTTTGGCTGTTGCTCCCTCCTTTTGCTGCTGTGAGTGACGCTGTGATCCTGCAGGTACCAATCCCTTCCCGAGCCCCTGCTTTCAGGCACTGCGGGTGAATGCTCAGCAGTGGAATTGCTCAATCCTGTGCTAGTTCTGTTAGTTTTTGAGACAGCGGCCACACTGTTTTCCACGGCAGCTGCATCATTTTGCATTCCCACCGGTAGTGCACAAAGGTGCCATTTTTGCCACATCCTCGCTGGAATTTGTTGTTCTCATTTTTTTAAATCTGTTTGGGTAGTAGCCACTCTCATGGGTGTGAGGTGACACCTTCTGGTTTGGGCTTGCATTTCTCTAAAGATGAATGGTGTTGAACATCTTTGCATGTGTCTTTGGTAGGTTGACACTACTAGAAATACCTACTTAAATTCTTTAGAAAAGTAAAGTGGCCACATAAGGAAATGATTACAGGATGCCTTGTAAGAGGAGTTTCTAGGATGAGAATTCTTTCTCTGTGGTTCCTCTGAGGGGCTGTGTTCCTCTCCCAATTCCTTTCTAATTAAAGCTTTGCCGGAACCTCTTGTGGGGAAAAGCCTGTGGACTATAGTCTTGACCGACCTCAATTATCTTTAATAGGCAGATACCCAAGTGGAGCAGAACCGGAAACACTTCTATGAACTGTCTCTTGAGTATGTGTGTAAACTTCAGGAAATCCAAGAGAGGAAGAAGTTTGAGTTTGTGGAACCAGTAAGTATGGCAGCAGTTCTAGATTTTTGTGATCTATTAGAAAGGTCTTTCCAGATCCAGTTGAAGATGGCTGGAGACCTCAGGGTGACAGCCTACGCATGAAGCAACACACTGCCCATTGGACAGCGTCCGGGGTCCCCTCTGTGGTGGGTCTGAGGCTGTGGAGCAGCGTGAAAGGCTGCTCTGGTTTTTGCTGCCTGGCTTGAGGACTGTGCTCCCAGATGCAGTTTCTGCCGTCCTGCTTATACTCTGGCCTTGCGCAGAAATTCCCCATGAGCAGTTATATTGGAATGCAAGAGCAGTAGGGTGTGTGGAATAACCCTGTGCTTTTCTAAAGGTCCCCAAATTTCAGGACTTTAGCAGCATTCAGTAATAAGTTGTTTCTAATGCACGATGGGAAGGTGCCTTCACTTTTCGATTCTGAAATTTCTCTTTTCTGACATTCTGTGTTGATCCACTGTGGGAAAGTCTCCATCATAAATGGATGTAGAAATTCTCTTCAGCACAAAGACCAATGGGTGATAGAGAATCCCAGTTCTCTGACAAAAACCAGCATGTGGCTCTGATATTGAAGGAAAACTATGACTAATCGTTCACTTTTAAAATCCAAAACTGGTTCATTAGCAACAGGCATCTATGTCTCCTTGTGGTGACTTCCTTTTCATTATTTTACTTTAGAAGAATCACCCTGAGATGAGGGAAATGGGTAGCTGCTTTTATATTCTGATAACTTCCGCCAGTGTTAATTAACACTGTTTTCTCCTTTGTCTTAGATGCTGTCATTTTTTCAGGGAATGTTTACTTTCTACCATCAGGGCCATGAGCTTGCCAAAGACTTCAATCATTACAAAATGGAACTGCAGATCAACATTCAGAACGTAAGCAGAGAAAGCTGTGTGGTGCAGGAAGATCGCGGCAATGGGGGTGGGGGGTGGAGGTGGGGGGTTTGATTCCATCCATGAAAAGCCTTAAGCTAGAACCAAGTGGAAACTGTGGTGGCGCTTAGAAACTGAGGCGATGGCGCCACCTTCTGGTCAGTTCTCATATCAGGCCTCTCGCCTCATCGGCGAAACTCGAAAGTCTGCCACCTGGTGGCTCTTGTTTAAAAATTCATTTTATTTGCAATTTTTCATGCCTTCGTTTTAGCAAAGTCACTATGGATGTTTTTATAATCAAGATTACACTTGTTTTGTCTATTTTCCTACGTTTACTGACCTATAATTGAATACCAGGCAGTTCAGTTTAAGGGGTCCATTAGGGTGTTATGAGAAAAGTACTGCAGAACCGTGGGCTGGGACAAAGAGCCGATTGGAGAGATCGAGTGGGTGTGAAGGGTGCGTGCCCAGGGCCGCGGCCAGTGTTTGTCTTGTTGGTATCTGCAGGCGTGGCCGTCCGTCCCCTGGCACCTGCCACACTCCACTTGTCACAGTGCCCACCCCCTGTGGAGGTACTGGGGGGCGGCCTGGGGGCCGGCCAGGAAAGGCTAAGATGGACCCAGGCACCTAGAGTTGGGCTCGAGTTTGGGGTTACTCAAGGAATTGGGGGCCCCAGGCATGGGAGCCGGTAACGAGGGGCCACAGCCAGATAGCGCGGGCATCCGCGGCTCTGGTGAGAGGACTAGTGGGGTGGGGGTGGGGGGAAAGGGTGCTGTGGACAGGTGCGCTGATGTCACACCGGGCAAGACCCCGGGCGGAGGGAGCAGATGGCAGGCGGAGATGGAGATCTGTGTGGAACTGGCCCGAGGCTCCCGGCCGGGTGCAGGCAGGCGAGGCCCCCCGGGGCAGCGCCGCGCTCCCCGGGAATAGACAGTTTCTGCAAACCTCTGGTCTGTGTTTGCACCCCTGAGATGGGTTTCCACCCTCACCACCTCTGCGCCCGGCTCCTGCCACGCATCTTTGGTGCCTTTGTCCCCGAGGTAACTCACAGGGAGGAGGTGCTTCAGCAGGAACTTTTCTCTGGCTGCACTGCCTCTTCACATCCGCACCTCAGCATTAATACGTTCCTTAGTCTGGGAGCCGCTGAGGAGCCCCTGGGGGGCGCTGACTCAGCACAGCCGCAGGTTATTCCCTGACTTCAGCCGCTGCTGCATCTCCCCAGTGGACGTCCGAGTCTCCCGGGGTTCAGAAATGTGATTTGTCTTTTCAGATATCTGACATTATTATAGTGAGTGGGTCTCTCCATGTCCTTCCATCCTTCCTTCCAGAAAGCAACGTCGTTTTCAAGGGCCACTCCCGTGACCTGGGAGAAACACAGTCCTGCTCACTTGCAGAGGAGAGCTGATGTGTTTTAGGATCTAAACCTTTCAACTCATTGGCTAAATAACAGTAATGACAAGTGAGGTTGACCCATTATCGACTCATCATCATCATCATCATCACGTTGCACAAGGAAAGACGTTTGGAAGCTCTAAGCCAGGCCATCACCTATTTTTCTAAATCTAAGATTGAGTAATACCGCGAGACATGGTGTAGGGATTTTTTATTTTTGCTGTCAAAATAGCAAAAATTCATCTGTTTAAAGAAATCCAAATGCTGATACTGTGCAGAAAAAATTCCCAGGTTTGTCACATTGTGATAAAGATGAACTGCTGAGACTTGTTCACCGAAACACTTGAACTTGCGCTCCCGCATTGTGTCCCTGCGTTTAGATTCAAAACTCACACACGTGAAAATGGCCAAGACTGCTGATAGGAGATTCCCATTCCCTTTTTTTTAGTCATACACTTGGGTACCTTTTGATCCCATGAGGGGAAATAACTAATGCTTAGAAACACCAGTAATGGGAAGAGAGAGAGAGAAAAAAAAAAACAGATTGTTTGAGTTTCCCATCACA